GATTGATTGATTGATTGATTGATTGATTGATTGATTGATTAATCAAGTTGATTGATTATTTTGCAATTGTTCTTTAATCTTGGAAATTCCCGGAATTCATTATTATTTATTTTTCCGAGAATTTTTTTCCGATAAATTATTTCTTTTTCCGAAAAAAAAATTTCCGAGAAATTATTTCTTTTGCAATTGTTCTTTAATCTTGGAAATTCCTGGAATTCATTATTATTTCTTTTTCCGAGAAAACTTTTTTCTGAGAAATTATTTCTTTTTCCGAGAATTTTTTTTTTTTCCGAGAATTTTTTTTTCCGAGAAATTATTTCTTTTCCGAGAAAATTCTTTTCAAGAAATTATTTCTTTGTTCGAGGGAACTCGTTCTGAGAATTCTATCTTATTTAATTGTTAAATGTCTGCAGTTGACAAATTGGATTATTTTTTTTCCCCGATAATGTCCCTCTACACTTTCACTGCGTAGGTTTGCAAATTCCGTTCTTTTTTTCAAAAAAAAACAAAAAAAAACGGCGTTTTTTTTCTTTTGCAACCTACTCCTACTCTGAGCTGTAAAGATACGTCTCTTCTGTTTCTGCCAGTTTGAGCACCAAAGGGTTACTATTGCGTTCTGCATCCCTTTCGGCACTCAGTGGTATTGGACAGTCTGTTCTTTTCGAATTTTGATTTATATATTCTTTCTTAATTATTATCCCTTGCTTGATTAGGGAACTGTTCAATTTGGGATCTGTCCGACCCYTCCCACCTGTCTGCCCCCTACCTGTTCCTCCCCCTCCAGTCCGGGCACTGGGCCAGTCCGTCAGATTGGCCCTCGAGTGACTCTTCAGACTTCGGGCACGGCAGTGCATGACACTGCTCACTCGATCACAGACCAAGGCCATGGACCGGAAGGCGGGGGAATCCCTCCTGAGCTATGAGGAACGTCTGGCGGCATTCATTCAAGAGGCCAACGATAGGGCCGCCGCCGCGGCCAAGGAACGTCGGCAGCTTGAACAAGAGGAGGAGGCCAAGCGACAGAAGGAGAAACAGGACCGACTTCGTCAAGAGGAAGCAGACCTGCAGGCAGCAGCTGAACACCGGTCACGCCAGCGGGAACGACTGTTCACACGGGAGACAGTGATCGGCAATGAGGCCGCACGTTGGGTGGAAATGGCATCTACAGACGAGGCCCCGGAGACTGAGAAAGGACTGTCAGCCCTTGCACAGGTCTCCCACGACCTCGTGGCCACCTGCGCTCTGCAGCAGGAGGAAATCCTCCACCTGCAGCAGACAGTGGACCAGATGCTCGCACGGCTGCGGGCGTTGGAAAAACAGCCAGCAGCCGTAGCAGCCGCAGGGCCTGCAAACCTTGCGACCCGTGTTCAAGTCTTGGAGGACGACGTCGGCAATATCAAGCGTGTGCATCAGGATTTCAGGACGTCGCAGCAAGCAACGAACTTGCAGTTGGAGACGCAGGTCCAGGCGGCTGCCACCGTGACGCCCGCCGCCGCATCCTCCAGGCGCCCACCCAAGCTAGATGACATTCCAGTCTTCTGCGATCAGTCCAAGACGGAACCGATCCCGTGGTGGCGCCAGTTTACTCTCCAACTCGACATGCACCATGTCCCGAACAACGATCGACATCCGTGCTTGTACCACCGATCTGGTGGTGCGTGTCAAGCATGGCTGGACAACATCTTGACCAGCCACGGCGTAGCAGTGTCGGAACTACACACCAAGCTCACTTGGCAGGAGTTGACTGACGCCTGGCACAAGCGATTCCAAGTGGAGCCGCCCGACCTGCAAGCGATGGACAAGCTCAACAAGCTCCATCA